TATTTTGTGTAGATGAATGACAAAAAAAGAACAAGTAAATGGTAGAGCTGCAACTGCTTATTTGGCCTTGTAGCTGAAACAGAACAAGGCTCTGGCATTGACAGTGATGTTTGATAAATGATGGATAAGTCAAAGTTAAATGCTTTCCACCATGCAGATTTAGGCCAGCAACCTTTTGGACCATTTCAGTGGGCTAATCGCTGGACTACGCAGTGACCATACTGTTCAGAAGTAGATGAATCTAGCAGGAGTCTACTCCTATATGGCACTAAATGTGTCTTTGTGTGCTAAATTAGCGCAGAATGAAACTGATGACAATGTTCAGGGACTTTAGTTAATTAGCATTTTTGTGCTTAGCATTAGCAGATAATATAAATGGCTCTAAGAGTCTGACAACCCCTTTCCAAATGACTGTTAATGTGGCCCTGATTAGCCTGTGTCTAGTGCAGACAAACTTCATGCAATTTGTCCAGATAGGAAGAGTTCTTACATATTTAATCTCTGGCTCTCTAGCCTAGTAATGGTCCTCTAGACGGATGAGGTCAGTGGTTGGGCTATATTCTCTCATTTCACTATACTGAACTGTAACTAGTCTGAACTGTAACTTGTTGGAAGTGCAATGGGATGTTGCGCACAAAAGTGACCCCCCAGATACAGAAGTTCAGATAATATACTGTAAAAGTCTAAAGTTAGCATATTTGTTTTATACCAAAGGTGTTGTCGCTTTTCTGATTTCATATACACATACACACCATGCCGAACATCCCACGTCATATAAGATCATTCCATAACATTTCAGCCAATACAACATGTATTGTAGGTCTACCATACCATATTGTCCCACACATCATGCTTTACTACAAATATATCCACCCAGCATTGACAAGCAGCTTCAGACAGTCATTGAGATCGTATAATTCTGTTCCATTTTATGTGCAGACATTACTAGTTAGGCCTACCTCTCAGTAGTATTAGAACCTAAGAACCCCTGATTTAATTTCCCTGATGCCAAAACAAAACGTGAGAATGTGCCAAGTGTAGAAATAGGGGAGTTCTTTTATGGGCCAGGACCAGGAAGGGTGCCAAGCCAACACCAATCTAATATTTAAACGAGTTATTGGCTGCCGATGTGGTGCAACTTCTGTTAGGAGGATCACCTGCACCCACCACCTCTCCAAGGGCACATACACACACACAAGCACACACACTCACACTCACACACACACATACACACACCACCTCTCAGAGGACCTGCTTTTCTGAAGGGCTTAGCTCCTTAAACCTTCTAATTAAAACAAGAAATCCCTTCGCCAAGACCCCCACTGCAGCCCACCAAAAAAGATTATTAGGAATTTAATGGGGGACATTTTGCATCGCACACCATCTGAGACCTTGGACTTGTGGCAAAATTGTCGGAACGGTGACAGAAAGCGGGAGAGAGAGAGAGAGAGAGAGAGAGAGAGAGAGAGAGAGAGAGAGAGAGAGAGAGAGAGAGAGAGAGAGAGAGAGAGAGAGAGAGAGAGAGAGAGAGAGAGAGAGATGGGGATAGATGGGGATAGAGAGAGAGAGTCTGTGAGGGGTGAGAGAAAGAGAGAGGGGGACATCTCTGAGCCAAGTGGAAGTGGAGGTGGTGAGGAGTGGGCCACAGCCATGGAGCCCCACACAGATAAATCAACATCACAGGAGCACAACATGTTTCACTTGTAATTACAGGAACGGTATTATTAACAGGCTATTCATTCAGGAGGACGTTTCCCTATAGAGGTACTCAGGTGTCTGTTAACCCCCCAACACACACACACACACACACACACAGACACACACACACACATACACAGCTGTTCGTATTAAGGGCATTAATGAAATGCTGATATCGGATAGCTGGCTTTAGGTCAATAAACCCCTCTTCTACAGATCCTAGGTCAGCCCTCAGTTGTAACGGATTTGGATGTGGATGTGGTAGGTTTTTCTCAGCCACATTTTACAGTTGATCCCTATAACACCTTTAACATAGCATAACAAACATCAATCTTGAAGTTGTTAATACAGTAACTAAGTGACATTAAAAGTGTGAATAAAGCTTGGATTGATGAAGTAGACATTTACGTTTTTCTGCTCCTTTGTGGGCCTCTGTCTCAAGACCGTTTTGTCTCCTGAAAGAGGAAAATATGCTGTCTGCTAGGCTCTTTCTCTCTTCATCATGTGAAATATCACCACTATGGGTTATATGACACTTACACATGCACCCCAAGAATTACAAGCTCATCAAAAGCAAGTGTTAATTCAAAGGTATCGTTTTTGCACCTGTCTGTTAAAAGCTAGAGGTGTTCCTATTTCATTAGTACTAGATATTAGCACCTAATGGCTGGTACTCTACATTTCATTTGACAGCCTTTGTAGCTAGTCTATATTAGTTCTTATTTTTTCTTCTTTGGAAAATGTTTGTTAATCAACTTAATAAACTTCAAATATGCATTTGATTTCAATTGAAAGGTACAATATTTGACTCAGCGATTGGCCTACTACACATCTTGCCCCAGAGCAGAACCATCAGGCAATGCGCAATTCACAAGTAGGCTAAACTAAAGTTTAACGATTATGTTGTGACCTAAGATCTTGACGACTGACTGGACATTGTTGTACTGTAGTTTTATAGAACTTTAAGGCCAGTGAATTCAAGTAGCCTACACATGATATCTGAGTGGATACGGAACATGTCTTTTCAACAGAGCTCATTGAAGGTCACCTGTCAAATCATGTTTTGTATTTGCATGGTCTCGTGCTCCCGCGGGCTAATTTTTCAGGATGACAATGCAAATTCGCCTACGACGCTTCCCAGCTAGATTCTGATCTGCAGTCTGTCGCTATCTGGCTGAAGTCCATGCAGTTATAGCGCCCAACTTGGCGACATTTATGGCGCAGGCTTAGAATGGACGCATGCCCACCTCTCTCTCTCTCTCTCTCTCTCTCTCTAACACACATATTTAGATGTTGTCTTTCTCTAACTGATTTATTAATTAAGTAGATATACATTTTCAGTCTATTATTTTTCCTACTCTTCGGGTGAATACAATGTATTAATATCTGTGAGATTTTTGGACATAGGCTATTTGAGGTAGCCAGCCTATAATCGAAAGGTTCAAGGGTAGTGTGGACAGTATAATTATGTTATTCAATTACATTTGCAACTAAATATTGCTTCATAATACGGTCAAATGAAAGCATGTCGCATGATTACATTGCTTGTGTCACTAATAATAAAAATCAGGTTGGTTCGTCTTATAAGCTCTGAAATAGAATATTATTACAAAAGTCATCAGTCATTCGTCTTCGATAATGTCTTTGAACGTCACATTATCACAGAAAAACCTTATGCATTGATTTATATTTTCGGCAAACACGGAAAACAATGTAGGCTATTTAATTCATTCAATTTTATTCAACTTTATTTTGTTTATAAAACAATCCCATTACCAGATACAAATTTGAAAGAAGGAAAAAAAACAGAAGCGCACTATACCCCCACGAACACTTGTCATCATTGAATAATACAATAATTACATCATTGGTGTGTGCCAAATATACATTTCAAATTTAGGCAAGACAGCCTATTCATATAAACGAAATTATGAAGTGAGAATTTTCCATAAAGAGATGTTAATAATTAGCCTAACATTATAGTTATAAAAGTATTCACATTACTAAAGAGCTAAAATAAGCTTTATGCCTATAGGCCAATATTTCTAAGATGAGGATTTAGGAAATAAAGTAGGCTAGAACTCTCTCCATAGTTGCATATGAATAGACAAAATATTAACATGTAAACAATAGTCCTCGGTACCAAATCGGATGTGCCCACTATATACAAAAATGTGCATTGATTTGTTGCCAGAAATAAGAAAGATAGCGGGTTCAGCTCGAATATCAGAAATGAGTGTAGGCCTATATTGATTAATTCGTCACACGGTATAGGCTATAACCTGAACAACGAGATAGGCTATAACCTGAATAACGAGATTCACTTCAGTGTCATTTTCAGATTAATTTAAAACATGTTATATATACAAAGGGTTATGTTCCATCTTTTAAACATCTATTCAGTGACACGTGTATTTAATATTTTATAAATAGGATAACTGTACATTCTTCGATTCATTTTTCACTTGATAATTAACACGTTTGACATTGTAGAAAACACACAATATGTGAACATTTATTTACATATGTCTACCACCCATAGACAAATGATATCTAGATAAATAAATCCATATTAAATAACTTACAAATAAATACAAGCCTGGCTTGGAACAACTTCTGCAACACTTGAGGCAATGAAAACGTATATGAATTGTCTGAAGCGTCTTCTAATAGCTCATTTGTTCCAGTTGACTGGTGCCCTACTGACCTGCACGTTTAGTGGATAATAATAGAGTTGTCTCAGACAGCATGGAGTTCTTTATTGCATACTGTATTTCCCTTCGCCTTTCATTGCTGTCTGATTTACGACGTTGCATCACTAGGCCGAACTCCACCATGTCACATTACCCTTTGGATTAATACAATTAAGAATAGAGCATATTCAGCATAATGATAGTATAGTTTGGTATACTACTTTAATGTGTAAGGACATCAAAAAATGATTTCCAAAAAGAATGTTCTTGCATAACAATTTGTGAATAAACATGGCCTATCCGTGTGTGAGTCACTTATCCTACTTCTTGACTATTAGGGGCTGTAGTGGGCCTATGAACTGAACGCTATTTGACAATCTCCCAGACCTCTGTTTGTTTCCGTTGCCAGCATGGTGTGTTTTCCCTAAAATAATCCCACTACAAAACGTATTTACCCTCAGGACAATTAACATTCAAGTACAATGAATTAGTGACTATACATCAGATGGCCCACTCCACAACCAACCCTCTGGGCACAGACGTCAATTCAACTTCTATTCCACGTTGGTTCAACGTAATTTCGTTGAAGTGACATGGAAACAACGTTGATTCAACTAGTGTGTGACAGTGGGAAGTGCCCAAAATGGGCCAAGTTGTAAATAATACATGTGTGGGTTCAGTATTTTAGCCTAATTAGGCTACTCCGCTAAGAGCTGGTCACATTTGCCTTCTCTCTTATCAGTTATGAAAAGGCGTGTTTAGTTCCTCCTGCATTGGGTAGAACTGGCTGCGGAGGTGGATGTCATAGGGGACATGGATGTCCCGGATGTCAGAGGACCCCCGTGACATTGAGTTCTGACCGAGGGAGTTGCGACCAGCTCTTTCCATAGTCCGCTGGCTCCTCGTGCTTTAGGGAGAATATCCCGTTAAAGTTGATTGGAGGGCTCAGAGCACCACTGTCGAATTGAGGGCTGGAACATTCTGGGGACGTGCTCTCGTAGAAGGACTCGTAGGCACTGCAGTAGGAGCTAAATGGTCTGAAAGGTTTGGCGCTGTCCATGGAGCTGCTGCCGTGGCCTGAAGAAGCTACAGCCTCGGTGGAACTGTGGTAAGTTGCAGGGTACATGGCATCGAATGGGGACCTGCCAGTGAAAGACGCCTCTCCGTTGTGGTCCGTGATGACATTTCTGGCATTGAGCTGGAGACAGCCCGCCACTAAGTTGGTGGTTGGCTGAGACAATCCCTTGCAGAGCGCCTGGACAAATGCCAGTAGGTCGGGTCTCTTGCCGGTGCTGAGGATCTCCGACAGCGCCCAGATGTAGTTCTTGGCCAGTCGGAGAGTCTCAATCTTGGACAGCTTCTGCGTCTTGGAGTAGCAGGGCACGACTTTGCGCAGGCAGTCCAGCGCGTCGTTCAGCCCGTGCATCCTGCTCCGCTCGCGCGCGTTGGCCTCCTGGCGCCGAATCTTCACCCTGTCCACGCGCCCCTTGGTCATCTTCTTTTTACGCGGGCCTCTCCTCCTCCCTGGTAAACCGTCCACGTCCTCGTCTTCTTGGCCTAGCTCCTCTCTCTCGTCCTCATCCCTCTCTGAGTCTAACTCATCCTCCATGGTTTTGATGTGGGTCTGGGAGATGGAGATGGTATCGGCTGCTTTTAGGAAAGGTTCTTGTTTACTGACCTTGATCTCGCGCACGCAGTCTAGAGGGAAGTTGGCCCCAAACTGGGTCCCGGTCCCTGGCCTCATTGCTGGCTCATCAAACCGTAAGGTCAACATCGTCCTTTAGCGTGACAGAAGGAAGATACCGCTGATTAGTCAGATGTTATTCGTTATTTTATCATTAGATATTTATTATCATCCTTAGCATGACATTTTACCCATGGCCTTATCTGGACAAATTGACATCCAACCAAGTTGAAAATTATAGGCTATAATCATTCAATTTTCTTGATCTATATCTATAAATGTCCATATCACATAGATGGTATGCATCTGCATGACTTTAGTATACATCTTTACATGATTAGCATATTACTGCAAATAATACAATAAGGACAGTAGCCTAGACACCCTACCATTAATTCGTTAATTAATTCAATTGAGCATCCTTTTAAAACCCCAATTACAAACTGTTTTGTTAGATACTTTGATTTCAATTCAATTTCAATCTCACAACATGTCTCCAATGCATTCCTTTTTTTTTCGCACTCAGTCTACATGCATTTTTTTCCCTCACCTGAATCCTGTGTCAAACAGTGCACATCTTCTCAATAGCCTTCTAGGTAGCTTTACGAGCCAGCACCTATGTGTTATTTCGATGGGAGATAGCACCAGTGTGGTTCTACTCTCCTTCTTCCCCCTGTCTTTTCTCTCTCTCTCTCTCTCTCTCTCTCTCTCTCTCTCTCTCTCTCTCTCTCTCTCTCTCTCTCTTTGAGAAATGACACCGATGCCAACCGCCAGAGCTGGTACCCATGCCATCTGCTGATGACGTCACCTGGCAGCCTTAGCCACGTGGTGTGGTCTCGAGGGACTGTTGAATTTCTCCCTGATCATCTGGCGTGCTTCTTGCTTCTGGGAACAATCGCAAAGCTTCCCTATAGCTTCTTTAGGAACTGGAGGAAATAAGTAGCGACCTCACACAAAGAACAGATAATACAACAGATGCATGTAAATTCAAAATAATAGATTTACATTTTAGTCATTTAGCAGACGCTCTTATCCAGAGCGATTTACAGTTAGTGAGTACATACATTTATTTATATTTTTTCAAACTGGCCCCCCGTGGGAATCGAACCCACAACCCTGGAGTTGCAAGTGCCATGCTCTACCAACTGAGCTACAATAGATGTATTCAATGTGAACATCCATGTACTGTCTCAGGGCATGGAAATGTGTGAATTGTAAATGATAAAAGCAAGGCAATTAGGGGGGAATTAAGGATGTAGTTTTAAGGAATTGTATTGTATTCAATGTTGATGACATGCTATGTTGAAGGTATGTAAAACATTACATGAAATACATGTAATGCATACAAGCCAGAAATACCCACTTCAGAAGTTGCTTAGGTTACACAAATGAGTGACAGCTAGAGTGACATGATTGATAGCTCCTGTCTTCTGGGTCATGTTGTCAAGGGCTTTTGCCAATTAGCTGAGTTTGCACTGATCAGGAGATTCCCAAGGCCTCTCCTAAATGTAGACTTTTTGGGAGAGGAGTGTCATCAAAATAATACCCTGTGATTAGCTAGCATTAATATGCACTAACACTGGTTATGGATGTGTTTGAGTAATACAGCTTCATGTCAATAGGCCCCCAGAGGCCAATCATAATACTACTGTGCCTCATTCCATGGTTGCACACAACACCTATCACTATGAACCATTTATTGTTACCATAGACTCAACTCAATTGTTATAGGATAACTGAAAATGGATAGTTGATTGAGATCAACGTTTTTTTAGTTTAGTTTAGTTTATTAATTTGACCATTTAAAAAAACAAGCACACTTAAAACTTGAAAAAGCCATACATGAGTAAAATCATTGAGGATAACACACAAAGTCTTGGACTTATTTCCATTGTGGTCTTCTTGAGACAAGTATCTTGAGACAAGATTGCATTACAAGTTATTGAACCTTCATTGAACCAGATGACCAAGCCTTCACACTTTTAAAAAATCTCTCCTCTTGTTCCTTGTCCTGTGATTTGCGGGCTAATCTGGGAGGTGGCTGGCACATCTGCTTGTATTCTTCTGTTACGTTAATTTGAAGGACATATGACCCCATGCATTCAAATACCAGTGAGGGACCGGGCTGCCTCCATAGCTGCTTTGCTCCTATCAGATATGGTGAACAAGCCACTCATTTTCTAATCTTTTGTGAAAGACGAAAACATTAAATTGATACGTCTGTTGGTAGGCTGTGGAAAATGAGGGTTATGAGGAACAATTCTACTGGTGCCAATCAACTCAGAGACACCAAGAAAGCCACATGCTTCTACCTAATACATTTTTATACTCATTAAGGAGCATCGTAGATTCACTAGTATTTACATTCGGGATTTAGGGGAAAAACTAACATTTGAGTGGGTGGCATCTCTGGATCTCTGGTTGGGGGTTGACTAGATGTTTCATGGTTGATTGGTATGTATCAGTCCATGCTCATGTTTATGAGTCTGCACACACACACACACACACACACACACACACACACACACACACACACACACACACACACACACACACACACACACACACACACACACACACGCACACACACACACACACACACACACACACACGCACACACACACACACACACACACACACACACACACACACACACACACACGCGCGCACACACACACACACACACCTCCATCTCAGCCTGCCCACCTCGCCCCCCTCTATAGATGCCTCAGCTGGCGACAAGCTTTCCGGTCCAGTACACACACCAACATCTGATGAGTCAAACTTCCCATTTCAGACTAATCACTTGACTGCACTAATTGCAAATGCAAATATGCAAATTTATATTAATTAATTACTCTGTTAATTAGTTCTCTGGTCTTTTTGGGCCATAAATCATTGTGCAGGAGAAAGGAGAGAGACTAGACCCATCCCATTTCACATAAAACATTTAATACACACCCCAGCTCCGAAATAGTGCTTGTGCTTACTTAAAAAAGACTCTTGCTCACTACTGTTGTAAAGAAGAAGAATTAAATTAAGGGGTTGTGATTAAAATACATTTGTAAACAGGGAACATATCATCCTTTGTATTTATAACATGCTTGGTGCGGAGTGTCATCCAGCGTTTTAATTATTAGATGTTAAAGACAGACAGGGTGCAAACAAAGACTGGTGTTCACACACGTTGGACTGCTCTCACTCTCATTGAGATCTCTAATGGCATCAAATGTATTCTTGGGGTCTGTCAGTCTTACTGACTGTCTGTTTTATGTTGATATCAATGTTTTAAATATTTAAATGATCAATTTCAATAGAATACAAAAAGCTTGGATACCAAATGTAATAGGCCCACTTGATCTAAAAACACAGACTTTTCACACTTTCATTTCAGAGCTGTAGTTCGCTTAAAGAGTTTGTTTCTATATCCCTTGGGTGAAAATATTAATTTACTTCTGTCTCAGGTTCAAAACTTGGATAAAAAATAAACAGAAGTGTTGACATACAAATGTACCCAGCTGTAAGACGCATAGCCTGTTAATGGTATGGAAATATGGAGCTGTGAATAATTCATCAATGTTTTAGAAATCAGAATGCTAATTGGTTACCTTGGTGGGAAGCTCGGGTGCAATGGGAACTGTTTCAAAGAAATTTGTGTTTTACTCTATTTGACCAAAACATTTAAAATTCGAATCAAATAGTTTGCTGATAATTTGTTGTTAATCTTAATAGTAAGGGGTGGTATTGGTGAAGTACTACGATCATAATCTAACATTCTACTTTAGGCTTTTATAGAATGACCTAATTTCCTGTCTACTGAGGTAATTTCATAAATTCATACTCATACCCCATGTCATTTAGAGTGCAAACAACATTTGATGCATATTCTGGCCACAATATAACATTTATTTTTCATCATAACCTTTCCATGTTATGCCAGGGATTCAGAGGTTTGACTTTCAATAATTTATGAAAATGAAGTATTGTTCAGTTCCAGCAGTGTTGATGTGTCAAATTATTTTACATTTTGTTGATGAATTCAGCCAACGATGTCACCAAGGGATTGAGACCGGGAGGGGCAGAGGATGAGTGGATGCCAGCTATGTTGATTTGAGAGTTGTTAATATCTTTGCCGTGCCAGAATTGGAGATCAGGCCAGGGTTTTCTTTGCTCCAGCCTTTGGCTGTTAGTTCACCTGAGTTCCTGCAGGACACATGTTGTGTGAACCTCTCTAGGCCACCCTACATCTTACCTCTCACGGTTATTGCTGTGGGAGACTGGCTGGCAGAGACTGAGCCTGGGGACACGGGGACTGGGGAGCAGGGTTTGGCAGGGGATCTGGCTACCTCCATTGCCTCCTACAGTCTCCATACCTCTTAACTCCCCTGCCTCCCCCTGCCTCCCTCTATGTCCTCCTGTCTCCCCCTGCCTCCACCGCCTTCCCCTCTCTACATGCAGGGCCGGACTAAGAGAAAATGTTGCAGTTTTAAAGCATATTTCTTGCAATTCTACACATGTTGCCATGGGGCAGTGATTAATTTTTTTGCTGTTTTACAGATCCTCATACTTTTGTTCACATTTTGCCATGAGGCTGAGAGAAATGTTTGCAGTTTTGAAGCTAATTTCCTGCAATTCCCCCAGACCTCTAGGGGGGCCCCAACCCTGGAAGTCGGGGGCCCAGGGCACGTGCCCTCCGTGCCCGTTCGGTAATCCGGTCCTGCCTACATGCAGTCCCCTGCCACCCTCTGTCTCCCCCTGCCTCCCTTCCCATCTCCCTCTACCTCAGTCTACCTCCCCTTGTCTCCCTACCCACCTCCCCCTAACTCCCCTGCCTCCTCCAGGTCTCTCTTGACTAAACTGGTCAAATGAAGTTTAAATAAATAATCTCCCTACCTGCCTGAGGCAGCTCTCTAGCCAATAGAGTCCCCTGCAGGCGATGCCCAGTCCAGATTAGGCAACCATGCCTCCTCAGGCTCTGGCTCTGGCTCTGGAGCTTGGAAGGTTTGTTCTTTGTTAAGCTGCTTGACTATTCAGGAAGACAGGACAGCTTCTGAATGAAAGTCTATTACTGGCACAAGTATACCAGTGGACTTGCTCAAAATAACAAATAAACGACAATAGATGGATAGATTTGGTTCTTGGTGCCAAGGCTAGATAGACTAATACTTTATTGATCCCTAAAGGAAATTCAATATTCATAAGTGGAGGTGTAGACAGGTTTATATTATTGACTAACACAGCATCCTCAGAGTTGAGTCACATCACATGTCATTATTATTCATAATATGAGGTGGGTGGTTGGTTGGTTGGTGGAAAGGGCATCACAATGAAGGTTGTTATTTCGTGGCGTGAAACTTGGACTTCTGCCCAGTTTCTCAGATGATGAAAATCACCTTCATGTGTCCCCGCTGGCAGGTGTAAACAAATGAATAAATTGCAACCTTTGAAATAGAAAGTGAATATAGTTTGAGCCTAGTGATAACGGAGGTGTCGGCTTCCTCTGTGTAAGACATATGCCAGGATTCAGGAATGATGCTTCTTATTTCACAAGTCTGTCACTCACCGTGCAACACCTATGACATTTGAAATGTAATTTTAATTCATTTCATGAGTGTTAAGTACATGTTCTGTCACTGAAAATTAGATACAAGTTCGATTGGAGGAGAATAAGCATTTAAATTGTACTCAAAGTAAGCATAGATATTACCAGATATCGACAATTTCAGCACTGTTAGTATAATAAATCAAATAGAGCACTGACAGTGCCAGGTCGCTTGTACAGTATCGAGTGG